TTGATGAACTTTGACGACGTCAACACGTTTAGGACTGTTCGTGCCGTTACTTTCGTCGTCAAGGTCGCTGCACTCTTCTTGCATGACAGCCGGTGCACAAGAGCGTTGCGGAAGATTCGACGTATATCTCGCTTTGACAATTTCGTCTTTCTTCCGCTCCTCTTCTTGGTTCCGTAGGTGTCAGGAGATGCCAAGAATGCTCTTACCGTCGAGTCAGATCGATTGATTCGTCTTGCGATCTCTCGCATGGACAACTTCATGTCGAAGAGAGCCATGATCTTGCCCTTCTCCAACTCCGACAACTTCGGACCTCGTGGCATGGTCAAGTTTCGTTGTTCGACTCCACAATCGCGCCAAATGAGAGGGATTTGATTGGCTGTTTATGTGTTTCCATCGATTTTCATTTTAAATGCGTTTTTCGGCATTTACAATATTTAAAACGTTGGTGCGCGTATATTTATTTCGTATGGGTCACCCTGGGTCTCCACGCCTTCCCCTTCATAAGTAGTGAATTTCAAACTCTCCTGACAAATGGCTCACTCTCATCTGATTGTCTTGAAATGTATAATGCCACGATAGAAGCAATTTGGAGAGCACTTTTATCTTGGAAATTTTTGCCTTTATCATGATTTTTCTATGTGCGCGTATAAATATTTCGCCTACTGGTACTGTAAACTTGAGAAATCGCGGACGTCCACCGTTGCAGCGAGTCAAACCTGTATCATTTAATAAATTCGAAGCGCGCAGCACAATCACGTCCCTTCTCCAGTCAGGAAGACTGACAAGAATGTAGACAACCTGTGGTTGACAGAACATGGCTAAAAATCTAAGGAATTCGACATGCAACGCTTTTACGCCATTGACGCGTACATATCCGACCGGGCATGTGTTTGGCGTCGACCATGCATCGTCCAGCGATCAATCCTCTAATATATTATAGTTTGCATTTTCTTGTTTTGCACGACCTTGCGACATGTACGGCATCGCGACCTCAGGACCACCAATCGTACGTAGTAGACGTACTGTTCACATACATACATCTTGTTTTATTACTCCACAGTACAGTACGTATGTACGAACACGAGACGTCACGACTCGTACATATCATAAAATACTCATGTCATACATTGAACAAGTATAAGGTCGAAATCTATTTTAATTCATGGGTGTGAACGAGAGCGTGACAACGTCGGCTGTCCTGTGATTGGCTTAGCCACGCATACGATCCGAAGAGCCAGTGCAGAAACTACGGCATTCCGCCCAGACGCCTTCAAGCAGTGCACTCGTGATGCGCGCCGTCTCGAGCAACCCGGCAATGCTTCTCGTGGCCACTGCGGCGTTCACGGCCCCTTCGATGGCCCAAGACACCGACCCTATCTGCATTGGTTACCGGAACACGTACCTTGCGGCTGAGAAGAAGTGTAATGACGTCGCGGCCGCGCTCGACCCTCCCGTCAAATTGCAAGCGCAAGCGGCGTTTTGCAAGATCCCCGAGTGCAAAGCTGCGATTGACGCCTCTCTCATGTATAAAACACAAGCTGGTGCTCTGGGTACTTGCAAACGCCTGGACGTCACTGTACTTCCTGGGATGTGGTGCTCGGTAAGAACATCTTCGTTGTCGCCGACAATACTAACGGAGTCATTCACATAGTCTGAATGCTCGAAAGCCGTGGCAATCTTGTCGAACTCGTCACTGACGTACTGCAATCAGAGCATGGTTGCGCAGCAGGAAAAGTACTGCCAAGCTTGCGTCGATATGTTCGACCACCACAAGACGATGAACCAACTGTGCTCGTTCAACAGCGCGACCGACACTTCGTACATTTCGCAAAACTTGAATGCGTTTGCTGTTCCGATCAACTACTGCAGAACGACATTCAAGAACGCCGACTTCAAGTTTCCCTCGGACCCAAATGTTATCGCATCGACATCATCGTCGACGACCTACATCGGTATCGGTGCTGGCGTCGTCGTGCTCATCTTGATTGTGGTGGGCGTCGTTGTGTATCGCCGTCGGCAAGCGGTCAACAAAGGCGGATCAGTTACGACCGGTAGTCACGCTGGGTACTACTCGAACAACGGGACGCCCAACTTGCGCACCGTTGGAAGCGGCAACATGGGAGGGCACACCGCCCAAGGCACCGTGGCGGACGACATCCGTTTCGACCCGGACTTGGCACGATTCCGCATTCCCCAAGAGCAAATCCAGAACGTGACGTTGCTCGTCAAGGGCGGATACGGCGTCGTGTTCCGAGCGACGTGCAATGGCACCGACGTCGCGATGAAGCAACTCCTTCCATCCAAGGCAAAAGACCAGCACGCGATCCAAGAATTTATGAACGAAATCCGCCTCTGCGCGCGACTGGAGCACCCCAAAATCGTCAAGTTTATCGGGATCTCGTGGTCCACGCTGCACGATTTGGCTGTGCTCTCTGAGTTCATGCCGAACGGCGACGTGACGGACCTGCTCAAGGCCGAACGCAAGCGGTCACCCAAGGACCGCATCTTCCTATGGGATCCCCGTGCATCCAACTTTGGTACGTCCAAGACGGCCGTCGCTGCCGACGTTGCGGACGCGCTCAGCTTTCTCCACTCGTTCGTTCCGACCATCATCCATCGTGATTTGAAGTCCAAGAACATCCTGATGAGCTCCAAGTGGGAAGCCAAGCTGAGTGATTTTGGGATCTCACGCGTCACGAGCCGCGACAACACGATGACAAGCAACATCGGGACCGTCGCGTGGATTGCCCCCGAAGTCCTCACGGGCGGCCACTACTCGGAGAAGGCCGACATTTACAGTTTTGGTGTGTTCCTGAGCGAATTGGACACGCTCGAGTCGCCGTACGCTGATATGAGCGAGAAGAACGCCGGCGGGTTCTCGAACGCGCGTATTGCCATGATGGTCAGTGAAGGCGCGTTGCAGCCAACGTTCACGGACGCCGTGCCAAGCGCGATCTTGGAGCTCGCCCATCAGTGTCTGTCCTTCCATGATGTGAACCGGCCCACGGCGCGCGAGGTTGCGGCGGCGTTGCGCGCCCTGTTGTAGTATGATCGCACAGCTGAACCGATGTTTTGTTATTGATGCGCAACATTCGTATCTGCTCTGGTCCAACTCGACCCGAGTCCCGATAGACGTCACTTATGCCTGGATAGACGGGTGGCTGTCCGAGGCGATGCCGTCGCCCCGGACAGAATCAATGTTTCGACGCACCAATTTGATTGAGTATGATTGGTGTAAAATGAAAATAATCCACCAATCCGAATGCGAGAATGACGAGTCAGCCAATCAAACCGTTGGGATCGGCGCCAGGACGGTCAACACTGACCCGTTTGGTGATGTGCGAGCATTGCACACGCATTCGAGCCACCAAGATGATATTGTTGCAAGAATATAATACACGTGGTGTTTGTATGGATGTGGATAAAAATACACGAGAAATTCGTGCCACATCTTCCTAGCATCCGAGAACTCCTTCGCGCACATTTCGGAATCGCAAAGCACGATGGACGTCCAATCTGACGCCAACTACAATGCAGTGGAAGATGTCAAGACCCCCAAGGCGGCGGCAAAGCGGGCAGTGTCCACCACCAGCGAGGTCGAAGAGGACAATTACAAGGTCGTGTGCTGCGGCAACAGTTGGCTCGACCTCGTCCTCGTGCCATTGACAGCAGTCGTTTTGTACGGCGCCATGATCGGTCTCTCGCTCTTGGTCCTTTGGGCAACTTTCTTGACTTCTGCGAGCGGAGCTGCTCACTGGATGTTCTTCTTTGCATGGCTTACTGGTGTCATTGCAGTCGTCATCTCGATTCAGGTCGCTGAGTACGAAGCGTACATCTTGGCCGAGCATGCCAAGAAGGATATTGCCGAGGGCACGAATGCATAGATAGTCTCGACGTGGTGCCTCTGACCCTTTCAAGTTAATCATTTTTCCTCAGTCACTTGCTAGTACCCGCATGATCCGCTGTCACGATCGTGGTGTTCTGCCTGATGGATGCTTGCCGAGGCGACCACGATGGCAAAGTCAAGTTGATCAGACGCCCGTGCCTTCAGAGCGAACTGAGTCGACGAAGATAACAAATTCGAGCAGGCCAACAGTTGTGAGCTTTCTCTCTCTTGAGAAGGAAGACCAAGACGATTGCCATCTTCGTTATCTCAACGACTGTTCAACCGCACGCAAGGATCTAAATTCCCTAAAAATAGAAACCTCCATCACGCATCCAATAATAGCTTACCAAGCAAAATAAATCCTGTCCGAGCATTCGATTTTCCCCCACTTACCACGTCATGGCAACCCCTGCGACGGTAGACCCTATCGCTCCCGCGTCGGTGGCAATCGACGTCGAAGTTCCCGCGCCATCGACGACCGCGGAAGCTTCTTCTGATGTTGCCATTGCTGCCGACTCGGCCGAGGCGCCACATACGACAACTCCCGCGGTTGCATCAACAACACCACAGAACAAGCCCGACGCGAGCAAGTCGAAAGCTGAGCTGTCAAAGAAACAACATCGACAGTCGAGCGCTCGGGATGGGTACAATATCGTGTGCTGCGGGAATAGTTGGCTCGACTTGTTCCTCATTCCGCTCACAGTCGTTGTCCTGTTCGGCGCTATGATCGGCCTCTCCATCCTGGTCCTTTGGTCTGTGTTCTTGACGTCGACGAGTGGCGCAGCTCACTGGGTCTTCTTCTTTGCTTGGATCACCGGTGTCATCGCTGTGGTCATTTCGGTTCAGGTAGCAGAGTACGAAAAGTACCTGAACGCCGAACATGAAAAGAAGCAGATTGCCGAGGGCACCAATGCATAGATATACACCCTAGTTCACAAATACATTCATACCTCAGTTGAGCTGATGTTCTCTCGCTTGATGCGCTTTATGAATGATATGGGAATGCATTGTGCCCTGCTAGTTACCTTCTCCTGCTGGGGCACGATGTTGACGAAGGTTCCGGAAGGCCTATTCTTTGATGGCTCGACTTCATGTTTCGTGGTCCCAGTCAATTGGTGCGTCTTGACAGTGAATTGCAAATCGCGGAGGGTAGGCCAAGTTGTGCTCAAGTGCATTGTCCGAACGAGTTATCAATGCGAGAGATCTCTTGCATTACCATTTTTCCATCATGATGCAGGGCGTCGCGATGTTCATCCGCGCCGCCGTCCCTTTGCTAGCGGAGCATGCCTTCTCAAGGGAGGTCTACAAGGCGTCGATTGCGCGCGCAAAAGTTTTGAACAGTTCCTCCTGGGTTTCCGGATAAATAGTGAATAGCCGGATATGCCGAATCCGGCGCATGCCAATTGAGATTTGGCGACGACAATGCAGAAGTACGCGGAAGTGACCTTTGAGCTCTTTGAAGATGCGATTCTGGCGCTGTATGGACAAGTGCGTGTGGATGTATTCGTCAAGAGCGGGATGCAGACGTGGAAGATGTGATTTGTGTGCTTCTTAGGACGGACCGGAGCAGCAGCGACTCGCAAACGAATACCTGGTGCATGTGTGGAACGAATGCAAGGTGATCGCGGATTATCTCCTCTCGTCATTCAAATGTCTAGCATGACCAAAGATCCCTAGCAATCGTGGGAATACGGACTGCGCGTGCTGATGCGCCCTGCAACTGCTGGACAGGGATATCCCACGCAGTCGCAGTACTTTTGTGCGAATATGTTGTATGGCAAGGTAGTGTTTGTTGCCGACGCATCAAGCTTGATGAATTCATAGATTCGACAAGAGTGGTTCAGCCTTACACCTTCCGAACACGAGGCAATTCAGTCACAAGTCGAGCTCCTGCTGCAATACATTCGTAGCGGGCAACTAAGGTACCATTCGTCGCCGCTGCCCTTAATCCAACCTCGCTCTTTTCAGCTTTGCTCCATTGGTCCTCAAGCGTATTTGCATGGCGATGACAGTTATGTCTCTTGCTATTGACGGTGGATGCGCACGTTGTGTTGCTGACTGCACTCAACATCAACTGGCTCCAACGTCATCGTCCCTTCTGCACGTTCATGTCTCGCTCGAGTTGCTCACAAGTTTGGTGGACGAGACGGATGACTCGTAAGCATCTGTCGTTGCCCTGTACTTGAACGCCAACTCGAACTCTTCTGCCAGGTACCTTCCTCCCAGCAGGAAGGACACCCTCGTACTCGAGATCACGGACGTGAGCACCCATGTATTTCCTTTCCTCTCCCGCCTCTTTGAAACTGTGGCCTTGCACCCATCTGATGAGACTGTCGCCAATTTGCGCTTCAGCGGTCTTACGTGTCTCCGTGCGTGGATAAAAGCAGCGGGGTTTTCACTCGCCAAACTGTTCACTAACATGCCCGCGGTCTTCCAAGCCCTCCTTCAAGCACTTCTTCACGCACAAACTGCTCCAGGTACAATGGTGTGCCTTGTTTTGGTGTTTTTGGGGCGAATAGAGTTTGTTGTGCATACCACACTTCTTGCCGTTCTCCAAGCGAGCTGCTCTCGAAGGCTTAAAGCTCCTCTGGTGTACTTTTTTTGGGGGCATGTGGCACTGCTCCCAACCGTCATAGCGTTGCTGGCCCAAGTGTGTAGTTATGTGTAGCAATTGAAGTGACGTCGGAGATGATCGTGCCGAGGAATGACTGTGTGGGGTGGTGATTTGTAGGCGCGGTGAAGGAAGTCGTCGTTTGTGCACTCATCTTAAGTGATGCTTTGGAAGTAAACGAATATCCTCCTGCGAGGTCGAAGGACACCGCAACGTCGGCGCTGATTTCAACACTGTTGGCTTGCCAGCCAACAATCCACCACTACCTCGTCCATGACCCCCGTACGTTGTCCATCGTTCTCGTCCTCTGTGCAGTCGCAATCTTCCAAATCACATTCTGTCGTCATCACGTTTGATTTCACGGTGTTTATGAACACGGCTTCGCTGTCCACGTTGCGTGCCTGTCGTCGTGATGAGTTGGCTTGACATGATTCTGCTGGATTTCGCGAGCGGTGGATCATTGGGATGGACGAATGAACGTTTACAAAAATTCTTGCAAGTGGTTCTATGAAATAGAATTGCTCGTGTCATCATCGAATGTGCTGACTACGAATCGTGCGCCTTGTAGATGCCGCCCATGCCCTAACAACGTTGATCAGCACTTTGGGCGAATGCGAGCTCGATTGGTTGATCCTGGGCTCTCCAGACGCCCTCGCGTTCTCGGAATTGGTGGTACATACAATCTCATCTCGTTGACCGATTTCCACACTTTATAGTTTTCATAGCTGCATCTGACGAGCCAGCCCCAACGACAAATTGCAACACTGACATTTGACGTGTGGTTCGGGATCCAAGACTACCCTGTCGCGTCCAGACACCCTTCGTTCCAAGATGCAACGTTTCGGCGCCTCTTGCACGTTCTCGTTCGTCAATGCGCGCAAACCGCCGCCGACGAAGACGATATTGCGTCCTTTCGACAGGCCGCCACCGAACTCTTCGTGGCCATCCACCACCTTCTCAAAGCTTCGTTTGTCGCGGATATTACCAAGCTCGTTAGGACGTCCAACGCGATTGTCGTCGAAGCTGCCATGTTTGCACTGACTGTTGTCGGGACCGAGTTGAAGCAGCGTCTCGTGAGTGATGACGCCACGCAGCAAGTGGTGCTCGACTTGTGTCGCTCCCATATATTTGTCCATCCTCATTTCACGTCGTCTCCGGCGGTCGTGCACGTCTCGTCCGTGTTTATTGGTACGTGGAATCAGCCTCCAGATCCGTTGGATCGTTGCTACCGAATGGAATGCTGCCGCCTTCTCGATTCAAGTTCACATCGATGTGCAAGGGGCAAGGGAACAATCGTGTAACAAGTTTGCGCTGTTATTTAGGTCTCTTGGGTCCGTTAATCAATGCGCAGTGGACGGCTACGAACGGATCGGACTCGTCACTATTGGATGCAACTTTTGAGTACTTGTGTTTTGGACTGAGCGTTCCCAGCGCAAGCTCTGCTGCGTCCAAAGCTATCAACGGTCTCTGTGCGTCCTGCACGCCTCTGCTCAGTCGACGCGATGCCCTCATGTCGACCGTTCTCTCGTCGTTGCACGTATGTCATAACGTTGTTTGTTGACCCGAAACCTGAAGTTTCATGTACGTGGAATGGATGACGACAGGCCAACGTTAGCCATTTGGACAAACAAGACCGACAATGGGTTGTCGAAGGTGTTGTCCGCGTAGCATGTGTGGCGTCGTGGGGTCGATTGGCGTTGGAACAGCTCGTGAACTCTATCTTTTCGCGCATGTCGGACCCTGCTGCTCAAACAACACCATCGCTGGTTCCCATGGAACTTTACGCACTCAGCACTGTTCTTCGCTTCCTGGACGCACCGTCCGACGTGGCTGGAGGCCCTGCGCTCACACAGCAAGTCGTGAATTGGGTCTGGCCACACGTCACTCGTGTTGCTTCGTCGTCCGCGCTGGCTGTCGACGGTAAGAACACTCCATGTGATGAAACAAATCGTGTGTATCCGTGAACCGAGAGTATTTCTTGTCGTGGTGGGATGTCAACTGCATCTGTTCCCGTTCAGGAACAAGCGTGGCAACACCGACTTTTTGCTGGATCGAAACCGAGTTGTTGTACCTTACTTGAATGGGACTCGTAGCAATCGAAGCCGTCTGTGATGTATTCACAGCGACGCTACAAGCAATGAAACACACGCCACAATTCGCGACATCGTCCGAGTTTGCCTCGATGCTGTCGTGGGTTGAACAGCAATCGATCGTGTGTCCCTCTGCGATTCAATGTGCTCTTGTGGCCGTTGAGTTGTACGGTGGTGGTGGTGGTGGGATGTCGCCGCCGCCGCCGCCTGCGGTCGTTCACGTTGTCGTAGCCATTGGACACCACGTGATGGGTCACTGCCACGCCGTGCCATCCCCCAGCCACATCCCCGACCTTCTCCGTGCGTACTTTGAGTTGTTGCAACGCACGCTGCTCTTTTGTCCCTCGAGTGTCTTCCCCGACTTGTTTGCGTCGACAATCCACCTCGCCATCGCGTGCTTGATGCATCTCGACCAACGTGAAGCCCTACGTGCAGTCGTCGTGTACGTGAACCATGTCGTGACAAAGCGAGAGACCCCCGCGCTGATTTCATACCGATCCGCCGTGGACAGTGCCTTCACGAGCCAGCAGGCCCCGCTGTGGATCGCGATGGTCACTCTCCTCACGGCCACATGCCCGACGACCGTGCTCCCGACTGTGATCCACCTTGCGTTTGCGCTCATGACCACGTATGGGCCGAGCATGCACCCTGCAGTTGCAAACGCGTTGCTGAACCAGCCGAACGCAGACGCACCGTTGTCGATCGGCAACCGACAGCGTGTATATGCCACACTTGTCCAGTACGTGTCGCTTTTCTGTTGTGTGTGCACGTCGTGGGCGATGATGGATGGAAATTCTTGGAGAATATGACAAGTGGTCGACGTAGGTTCACGACCAACTACGAAGAGCGCAAGTTTACAGCATTCGTCAAAGACTATGCCAAAGTGTGTCGAAAAGAGCTGCCCGTGGAGCATCTCGTCGATCATTTCGTGGCGTAGCCATCGGGACATGGGGAACGGCAGACCGTACGTCCGTGTAATGTCGTCCGGTGTCGTGGACAGGAGCAATAAATAGTTACCAGCATTAGTGTCCTGCGATGTTATGCCGATGCTGATGGAGGAGGATGTCGGATCGCTGGCATGCCGTTCCCTTTCCCGGCGTGCATTGAACTTGGTGTTGACGGATGAGTCCACGGACCTGGTGGCTTTGCGACGCCGAGGAGCTCGCCGATGCGTTTGTGTTTCGCGACGCGGCCATCATAGATGGTATGGGCCGCCTTCGAGCTCAATGGGATCAAGTCATTCGAGTGTTTCGTTGGATGGTGCCGCCTTTCGTCGGCCCATGCTGCGAGGTGATTGTCAGCAAAGAACGTGAATGTGGATGGACTGGAATCAATCGTGAACGGTGGAGTTGATCGCTTGTGTCGAGACGCATGCAGTGCATCCATGAGATGGGCGGTTGACGTTGCGTCGGTGGAGTTGTCGTCCAGTTTTGGCGTGGAGTGAGGAGCCCTCCACGGCATTCGTTTGTACGTGGGTGTCGTGGGATGATACAAGGCGTGCGTTTCGTTTCCAGGAGCAAGCGCTTCGGACAGGCGTCGACGAAGCAGCGGCGATGCTGACGTTTGCTTGTATGGTGTCGACGTGGTCACGGAGCTGTCGGTCGTGAGGTCCCAGTCGTTCCCCGCGTCTTCAACGTAGTCGTACTTTGAATTCCAGAGATCCATGCCACTAGGTCCTTTATCAACACGTACGCCTATTGCACCCTTCTTGTCGCATTCGCGACGGCGCCGCCGTCGCGAGCCATCGTTGTAGGGCCGACACGCCGCCATTTGATACAATGGAAATGCGGCGCGTCGGCGAGATATTCTTCGGGTTCGAATATTCCTCATCTATGTCGATTTGGATTGGCTAAAATCCAAGGACATTCACCAATCAAGTGCTTGTATACCTTTGAAATGTCGAAACCGTGGGGTTTCCCAAGTCGATCAAGGTGCCACCGACGTGGCGGCGGCGACGCATGCATCGTTTCACTGGCAACAGCAGAGTGCACGAGGGGAAATGTCCACAGGGTTTGGGACGTTTTTGGTTGTAAGTAGACCATCGTGGATGTCTGTGTCGGCAACATGGGAAGTCGACTCTTTGGTCAGGTCATGGGTTGCAAGGCCAAAGCATGTCGACGGCAACATCGAAGGGGCGACCAGTTAAGGTGAGGCGTTGATGTTGCCAAGTAGCAGCAGCATCACCGCCATGACCGTGACGACGCGCACAGTTTCCACAAGCGAATGTGATTCACTCCATTCTGCCTTGTGCAGCCAACACAGGCCACTAGTTCGTGGGTGGACTTGCACACCATGGAGTTCCTTCTTGGTCACACTTTTCAACCTCGACGGAGGCTTTTGAAGGAGCGCACGAGATCAGTGGATGGTTTTGTGACTGGAAACGATGCGTGTCGGTGAAAAGCTGCTTTCGTTCGACAATGGCGCCACGTATGCAGCAAGCAATCAAAAGTCTTTATCGTTTTCAACAGTGTCGCTGGTTACGTCTGGCGCTTGAGCTTTTTCTTGGCCGGCTGCTTGCCGCCGCTCTTCTTGCGCTTTCCCGCGGCGTCGTCGCCATCGTCCGACTCGTCCTGGTGGCCCACCATGTTCAACATGTTTCAAACGCGGGACGACTTACATTGTCTGAACCATTCTCGTCCTTGGATTCCTTGTTCAGCTCCCGGTACTCTAGGTCAGCGGCTTCCTTGACCGCTTCCAGGTTCTCCACCCCGTTCGCCTGCGCTTCCTTCACGCGGGCTACATGGCACGACAAGGATGAGATCCCACCGAAGGATCGCCGGTTACCTTTGACAAAATCTTGTCGATCCTTGGCACGCTTGTTGGAAAACCATGTCTTGAGTTGGCGCTTCGTAATGGTGCCGCCGTCGCCTTCGTTGAGTTCGTCCTGGAGCTGGTCCATCACAGCATTCGCCGGGCGGGAGCTCGTGTCGAACAGCGCATGCATGCGTTCCAACTGCTTCTCGTTGAAGATGCGGCCGTTGCTCTTGCCCTTCTTGGTCGCATTCGCCACTTCCTCGACAGCCGCCTTGGTGTCGTCACCCACCGAGTCCTTGTCGACACCGCCGTCGTCCTCGTCGTACTCGCCCATGTCCTACGCATGCATGGCCCTTACACTCCCTTCGTTGACGAATCCCGAGGTCGAGTGTGTCCACATACAACGTCACTTGTGGCAGGGTGGTCGCGCGAGTCGTCTTTCGTGGGCTTGTCGGCCAAGAGAGCGTTCGGAGGATGGCCCGCAGCCTTGCGCTTGTAAAACCAGCACCGCAGCTGCTTGTAGTCATGGTGGGTCGAAAGATCTCCCACCGCGGCTTCGTTCAACGTGGCAGCGAGCTGGACCAACGCATCTTTGTCGGGCGAGTCATTCTACTCGACAACCAAAGTCGACGTCAATAATCACGTGGCCATCCGCGGCACGCATCCGCCACCCATTCCATGTTCACCATGTACAGCAGGATCCAAGCGGTGCGATGCAGTGCGGGCAGCACGCCCCGGTAGGCGCAACGAAGCCGCACGGGTTTGAATTTGCCCGTGCCCAAACGAACAGTACAGACGGGCGCGCGTACCTGTTGAAATGCATTTTCGAGCACGACGAGCTGGTCGACTGTAAACTTGACCCGGCTGACTTTGCCGGGTTTTTCTTCCTTTACAACGTCGTCGCCGTCGCGAGCGTCGACGTCGTCGACGGGTGCAAGCGACGAGCTCGACGATGTAATGACAGACTGAATGTGGTCGCTGAGTTTGGCGGCGAGGCGGACGACATCCTTGTTGTCTTGGTGCGCCTTGGCCACGAGTCGCAGCTGGCGATCGAGCCGCGTATCGTGGAGAACGGGGGCAGGGAGGTCCACCGAGAGGAGCAGTTCCAAGATATCCATGACGCATTCGGGGGCGGCTTCGTCTTCCACGAGCTTGAGCAGCTGCAGTTTTAGATGCGTCACTTCGTCCTTGTTGAGCGGCTGCGGACCGACGGGCTTGCCATGGATGTACAGCCGTTCGCGAGCCTGTTGAATCGCGCGGCTTCGCTCTTCCTTGACGTCTTCCTCGCTACGTTCAAAGCACCTGAGCTGCTTGACTCACGGAAATGACCAGCACACACCTGAGCCCCGCCTCGCGGGCCACCTTGACCGCTTTACGAACTGACGCCACGTGGTCCATCCGCAGACGTTGCTTGGCTTTCGCAGGCTTCTTCACATCTGGGGACGACATGGTGCTGTTGGTGATCGCTGCGATCGAATACGCCGACGCTGTCGGTGTAAATGTTGTTGCATGTGCCGCGTCGTCCGTCTATGCAGTTGCCGGTGAAAAACGTGACCAGTTCTTCTTGAAACCCATCCAATTCACGAATCGCCATGGTTGGACTTACAGATGATGACGCGACGAGGGGGGCGTCGCCAAGGAGCTGCTCGGCCTCTTCCATGATGTCCATGGCCCCCGTGCTCGTTTCCCGCATCTTGGCGACGCGCGCTTCCAAAACTTCTTTGGCTTCATCAATGTAAGCCGCCTTCATCTTCTTGACCGTCTCCGAGTCCATTCCTGTCGTATCCACGTCCTAAACACCGACAACGTCAATCCATATTCATGCAAACAGACTGTCGAATCGTCCCAAGAATATGTTTCCACCGCGAAGACACGTCCACCAACCGACTGCGTGCCCCCCACGAGAGATGCACACAAACGCCATGAGACAAACGAGCTGGGTACAGCATGCATCCACGAATAGCAGCCATGGCACCACACGAGGCCACAACCACACCATCTCGTTCTTATGCCCACACAAACAATCCAACAGGACAAGCTGCCCATGTCCTCTCGTTCGTACCTTCATCTTGATGCGCATGTAATCCAAACGTTCCTTGGCGCGGCGGTTGTCAAACCAGATGCGAATCTGCTTGACCGCGATGCCTTCCGGCTGGAGCTCGGCGTCGGCGTACGCGGGGGAGTTGATAATGCGATACATCGCCTGGATCTCGGAGCTTTCGGGGCGGCTGCTCTTGCCATACCAGTCCTCCAATTTGGCGATTTGCGCCGACGAGTACAGCCGCGAGGCACCGCCGCCCGTTTTGACTTTGAGCTTGGCTTTCTGGATCTCCTTGGCCTCGCGCTCCAGACTCTTTTGTTCGAGGTTGGGCGGGTACTTGACGTCCTTGATCAGCTCGACTTCGGTTTGGACGGCATGGTATTGCAGCGTGTACACGAGGCTCTCGAGCTGGCTCAACCCGGCCGCTAGCTTTCGGAGGAGCATCGACGACCCCGGTGGCAGATTTGTATCGGGCTCAGCGTCCTTCTCCACGGGAGCTGCGACTTCCGGATCTTCATCTTGGCTTTCGTCGTCGCTGTCATCACGTTGGTTGCTGCGATTGGTACCCTTGGACTTGGCCGTGCCGCCCAAATGCTGCTCCACATCCTGCTTGAGCGACTGCGCCAACACCAGCAGTTCCTCGCCCTTTTCCAGCACCAGGCCGTTGAACTTGCGCCCGGCCTTCAGCGCCACTTCGACCAGTCTGTCAACCAGAAATACATTTGAATGGCGGTCGCGACGGACAGAGAGAGTCCAAACCAATCCCACATTTTCGGTCGAATGTAGCATTCCATCACCGAAGCATGCACGACGACACTTTCACTTGTGCGTACCTCGCGTACGACTCATCGGTGGCGCTGGTTGATGACGACGACGCAGAGGTCGCGGCGGACGACGGTTTGGTGCGAGAGTGCTTGATGGCGTCGGGGGTTGCCCGGGCCGATGCGGGATCGGAGCGCCGCACACCCTTGCCCTTGCCCTTGGGTGTGACCACGATCTTCTTGATCGGTTCGCAGTCAGGGCAAAACCACTTCTTCAAATGGTTGGTTTGAATCAACTTGGCGTACTTTTGCCGAAAGCACGTCGGGTGGAATCGAACGCCACATTGTGCACACACAAGCGCGCGCTTGGCGTTGGACGTGTCGTCGCCGCACACTTCGCAGACCGTGGACGAAGTGGATAACGTGGGCACTCTCGGCTCCTACGGGCGAGATACGAGTCAGACCTGTGAGAGTCAGGATGGCCTCTTGTACTTTGCGCAGGTTGTCGTCGTTGGCAGCGTTGTTACTGGACGACGTGGCGGTATTGCCGAGCGTTGCTTGTTGCTCCTGCTTGACGAGAAGTTGCTCCAGTTCGTCTTCGTCCTCATCATCGTCATCCTCGGACGGGACATGCGATGGTGGGTCGTCGTCGTCGTCGTCATCGGAGGACTCGCTGGCGTCGCTCAACGGCGCTGGTTTGGCCTTGACCAAGGAGGCCAGGAGCGACGACCCAGTGCTGATGGACGGGAGGTGATCCGAGGCTGCAGTGGCCGACGGAGGCGGCGGCGCCGACTCGTCGTCTGTCGAGTAGTCTGAACTCATCGAGAGCGAAAATGAGGGGCAGTGCACGTTTGCTGGGCGTCGTTTTCCATTGCGTATATTTGCCCGTTGGATATTTATATACATGCGGAACATGCCCTCTATAGTGAAACCAAATGAACCAGAGCCAAAATATTATCATGAGGTCGTCCCATGCTCCTACAGCCAGCACATGCACGGTATTAAATGTTGGAGGTTCTTTCCCACTTACCTCGTCCCCACCACCTCTTGGGGCCAGAATATTTCGATATTTCAAGTCAGCGTGTGTCGGTCCAACGCATCGTTGAGTCGACGATCCATGTTCCCCCACCGGTCGGGTTTTCACGGAGCCGTCGCGTGCGGCGGTGTCGTGTGCGATGCTGCCCCGCGCTTGCGCGCGACCTGTGTTTGCCTTGAGGTGATGCTCAGCCAATGGATTGCAGGAAGGTCGTGGAATTGAACCAATCCTATGCGCTCATGTCTAAGATTACAGCCAATCATATGCGAGATCAAATGTAGATGGTTACCTTGCAAGGAATGTGTTCAATCCACAACATTCTTTGAAAAAGTTCCATTCGGTGAGATCACCTCACTTGCCGTGGACGATTGCGTAGGACACACTCCTTGACGTGGTAGCGATCGTTGCTGGACCAAACCACGGTTTTGGACATCCCATGCTGGTACAATGGGGCTGTAAGGAGAGTATAAACGTTGAGAGGATTCGTACGGATACGATGCGGAAAGACACGCTACATTATCCGGATTTCATCCGGACGACTGGCGGTCAAACTTGAACAACAACGCGCCATGGACGCGGCCGAGCTCTTGGACAGCTACACGGATGCCATCTACGCCTCTACGTACACGGCCGAAGAAGTGGTGGCGCTAAAGGAACGAAAGAAGATGAACGAAACAATCATGCTGTGCCGTGCGATGCTTCGAGACGAGACGTGGGAGCATGACGCGACTGTCAACGAACTCGACGTGTACTTGACGTACGCGAGCACGCTCGAGTCGTTGACCCGGCGCTACGAAGCAATCGACATCCTTGTGCGTGGAATCGATATCATGGACGAACATCCGATGCTTCGATTGGCGCTTGCTCGACTGCAGTTCAAGGCGGGCCTGTACGAGGAAGCGTTGGAGTCCTGTCTCCTGGTCGCGGAAGCGTATCCAAACGACACGCGGTGCAGTAAAGAAAGCGCCGCGGATGCGTACCACCTTGCAGGTGCTGCTGACATCAATCCCTTCAAGAGACCGATCTCACTCGAACAGGCTGGGTCAAGATTCACGGGGACGATCACACGAACGCGTATGCATTGTGGAGTCGCGGTGCCAAGGCCGTGCCGTCTTCGGCTGTTCTCGCGAGGCAATACCGGAAGCGGCAATGCTGGGACGACGACAGCGACGTGGATTTGCTTCATCCTGGCTTGGTATGCGCTACCACGTCGACGTGTTACCTGTCGAGATGTAGGTCGGGCAGGGGGCGTCTGGGCTCCCAGCTGAAGGTTTTGCCGTCCCGCCATCAACTCGCGCGGTGGCGTTGTTCAATCCCAACACGCAAGCCAACCGCGTCGTGTTTCGCTCGACCACTCCACTTTTGACCAAGGTAAAGTACGTGCGAACAACCACGGCACGTCGTTTCGTCATGGTCTTGGGCAGGACGAATGTGCCAACGTGGTTGACATTGTCCATGCTTTCCATCGAGAAACACTGGATGGTCGATGGGGCACGGTGCGCCACTCGAGCGTCAAGACGACGGACGTCGCGGTCGAGGACATCCCGAGCCTTCGACCATGGCTTAAAGTGTTGCTCCAGTCGCGCGTGTACCCATTTCTACACGCTTGCTTTCCGTCTCTGGCGGACCACACAACTATGATGGACCCCGTGACGATGCAAAGCCGTTGCCGCGTTCACGACGCGTTCATTGTGCGGTACGTCCGTTCCATGGTGGCGTCTATTCATTGTATGGCGCAGCTACGATGAGGTGGACGAGTCCCTGAGCCTTCCAGAGCACAACGACACGTCCGTGACAAGTGTCGTGGTGTCGCTAAATGATAGGTTCCAAGGCGGGGGCACGTGGTTTGAAGCGCTGGGCCATGTCGTCGACGCGGATGTCGGGCATGCGGTCGCGTTTGCCGGGCCACTGCGCCACGGAGGTGCGTTCGTCGACAGCCATGCATGTCTTTGTCGGAAACCACATGACGCACCATGTCGTGGGTAGGCCATGCAATCACGTCGGGGTGTCGGCTGATCTTGGTCCTGTTTCTGTACGTCGATGGGTTTGCCTACGGCGACTACCTGGCCAACTTCGCCGAGGACAACGACACCAACAACGCCGGGGCGGGCAAAGGGTTTGTTGTGTACAACCAAACGGTGGAGCTGGTCGCAACTTTGAACGAGGCACCGCCCGCCACGGTGACATGTCAAGTTGCCGACGATGCGTAACAACGAGTTGAGTGTCCACCTTCTCGAGGTTTTCCAGTAAGCTTCGATCGCGCTAGAGTTGAAAGCTACAGTGTGGACCGTCTGTGCATGCATGGCCCCTGATGGAAGGTCCGTCGTGGCGAGCGACGAGTGGAGCCAATCCTGACACAGCGACTCGAGAGAAGAAACGAGCTGGCGTGACTCAATTTCGACACGCTTCTTCGTTAACGAGGGTCATCGATCCAGGCCGTCGTCCAACTAGGGTGCAGCTCTTACATGCAACGGTCATGCGTCGGCAAAGGAATCTGCGCAGGAAAACGCGTGAACTTATGCAGGCAACCGTGGAACAGACAGCTTGACCAAGCTCCTTCACCACCCGCTCGAACCCATGTCTTCAAGCGTCCTCGCGACAACGTCGTGGTTCCTAAATGGGATGATGCTTCGACCTGTTGCGCCTTCTTCTTGACGGACTTGGACTCAACTCATAGCGACCTGCAGCCGTTGGGTGCAGGCAAGGCACTTTTGGTCACGATGGCATTTGAATAGGTGAAAAGCATGTCGCGGGTGGTCATGAAACACGTGCTCCTTCTTCCTCAACTGTAGAGAGGTGGCAATGAACCGCAGACCCGCCACGCAAAATGCATTCACATTGGTCTCGGGGCGGCGCGTTGGAGTGGAAGGCATCCTCATTCGTTGTAGCGACCGTCAACTTTGGCCTGCTGACAAGTTGCGTCTGTGCTTCGCGGCACGGCCTGTCCACATGGTCACGCGCCCCTCAACATAAATTCCAACGTGCGCTGGTACCCATTCGTACGATTCGATTTCCGCGACGCGTTGAAGCCCAAGAGGTGGAAGCGAGGCTGACCGAGTCGACCGGCCTCCAACACCACACCAAGTCAAACCTAGTCAAGTTGAGGTCGAATGTGGCGACCTTTCACAGGTCGACACACTTGTAGAAGGCAGCTACGTTCTCTCGCCTGGCTCGGTGCCAGACCGTGCAAAGTCGACGGCGCCTCGAACGCTTCCGACGTGGGCATGGACTCGCGTCGGTTTCGCTGCATCGTCGTGCTTCTGCGCACTGGCACCATAATGGGTCTGGATGGGCTGACCAACGTCGAGCGAGACCAACATGCTCGTGCTGCATATCGTTGTACCCCATTGCCTAACCACCAACCGCAATTTCTGGCACTGCACTACGATGGAGGCAGCCAGCCAGCCAATCGACACTTTCGTGCATGTCGCAGGCATATCGGGGAGCCCCTGAATGAGAGAGCATGGACGGCAGTGCTATGACGGCAAACTCCAATGCCCGTTCGCGCCCAACGACCGCAAAGTCAGCTTGCTCACTCAGCGTTATGTGCGGGGGGCATGATGCACTTGTACCACGTGCTATGGATAGTGTAAAAGGGTCAAGTAATGAGTCTGCTAGTTAGTTGGCTGCTCGACGTGACCAGACTGCAAGTAGCTCTCGGCCTCGACGTGGTTTGATCGATCGGGTAGGGGCATGCGTGGCTTCAAGAACGAGGCCCGCTGGCTCCAAAATGCGGCGGTAGTCATCCAGTGACAGCACGTATGGTGGGCCATCAGTGTTGGATGACAAAGGGGACGTGGACGACGGCAGCAATGCCAAGGGAAAGAGCAGCGTGAGAAGTCGACCGGTATCGGGTCGAAGGAGCGCATGGAATTGCGCGGCGCAAGCAGCTCGCATATCGGGTTCAATTGCAGCAAAGAAGAGGTAGTCGTAGATCAGGTCAAACGAGGCCAGTTCAAGGGGAGAAGTGGCGCTCGTGGCAAAAAAGTCGCCATGGACGAGCGAAATCGCGTCGGCATCGCGTCCGACGTTCGCTCGTGCAATATCGATGGCTTTCGCCGAAATGTCCAATCCTGTAGGCTCCCAGCCTTGAGAATGCAAGTGCAACAGATCAAACCCCGATCCGCATCCTGGCACAAGCGCCGTGCGGCGGTTCGCAGTAGATGACGGGGGAGACAGCTTCGCCAGACCTTCCACAAACGAAGGGTTCACTCCCTTGAGCTCCCATGGCGTCACTTTCTCGCTCCATGCCTTCTCCCAGTCTCGTCCAACTTTGTCAAAGAAATGCCGGCGATGGCTCGGCATCTGTCCACGGACGCCGCCGCCCCACACCCGCCTCATCTTGAGCATGTGTCCGTAGAGTGTGC